ATGCCTATTATTTTGGTTTGTGAGATCGGAGATCGCGCACGTGTACATACATTCAGGAGGACACAAACTTCTTGAGAATGCTGTCCCGTGACTTTTATTAATAAAATAGATTAAATAGCCTATTGGAGAGATGCACAGACGCAGGTAGGCTAATTCACACAGGCAACTGAAATAGAAAGTTCAAAAGAACAGCATTTATATAACACTAATCTGAACATCAGATATGTACAATTACTCCCATTACTTTATTACAAAGCAATCATAACCAGAAATCTGTGTATATAAATCTTAATATTTTTAATATTTAAGTACTCCAGCTATTGTGAAATCAAACATCTTAAAATGATATTTTATTGTAAAGTAGTTGCGTAATTTGATGTCTGATGCATTCATAATCATGAAATGTATATTTATTAGGGATGCACAAATACCGCACTCACAGCGTGAGTACCACGCAGCGTGTGAACAGAGCTATATCCAGACAACAGAACAAACAGAGATCAGAATGGAGTTATTAGAGATTAAGGCCTCGATCAGACAGAATGCTTTTTTTTTTTTTGCAGTGAGAGGCGCCTTTTTAAATTGTTTTCTATTGGAAGTAAGCGTTTTGTGCTCAGAGACTGCAATGATGGAGGAGAAACTCATATGAAAAAAGCTTATACAAAAGCTTATACAATACATTGTTAAAAGGCAAAATTAAGTGTGAAGATAACTGAAGAAAGTATCTATTTGCTAAATGAATCCAAATAACATTATTCATATTCTTTTTTTTAAATTACGAATGTAATGAAAATACAAGAATCGGTTTCGGCAAGTACCAAAAATGAAAGCATCGGTATCGGTGCAACCCTAAGAGTTATATATTCCTTAGAGTAAAAAGTAAATATTGTGTTGTCAAACTGTTGTCATGACACACACACGAGGATAACTGGAACTAAGGAGCGAGGAGACGAGGAATATACGAAACGGTCTTTAATCCATGGAACACAGGGTACATAAACACAGCTGAACGGAATCATAATTAAACTAAACAAGGACAGGAAAATGACCAAATAAGGAAACGCAGAAAGGCACACGAGGAGGAAAACACACACAAAACACGGACCAGAGTCTGACATAATTCCCCCCTCCCGGAAGGTGCATGCCGCGCCATACAACATCCAATGGGGGGGGGTTGCGCTCTGGAGGCCTCTATGAGCAGGCCTCCAGGGCGGCGTGCATTCCGGGATCCATGGCGGATCCGGCAGTTCGGGGCGCCATGGCAGAGCAAGTAGTTCAGCCCAGCCCCCGCCTCGGCCTCTACGGATGGAGCCCTACTACACCCCTAACCCCCCACCCCCCCTAAAAAATACTTGGGGACGCTTACGGGTTCCGAGGCCCTCCGTGGGCCATGACAGGGGACTGGAGCCCTCCCTGGGCTTAACTGGGGATCTGGAGCCCTCTCTGGGCTTAACTGGGGATCTGGAGCCCTCCGTGGGCTATACTCGGGAACAGGAGCGAGCTCTGGGGCTGGAGCCAACACTGGAGCGAGCTCTGGGGCTGGAGCGGACACTGGAGCGAGCTCTGGGGCGGCCGGCAGTTTTGAGTCGGGAGCGGTCGGCGGGCTTGGGGGGCGGGTATGACAACGGCATGGCCGGCGAACTTGACTTCTGAGCGGCCAGCGGGCTTGTCTTCGGCGTGGCCGGCGGGCATGACAACGGCGCGGCCGGCGTGCTTGACAGCGGAGCGGTCCTCATACCGCGGAGAGAAGAAAAGGGAAAACAAAAGATGACAAAAAACGGAAAAAAAAACACGGGAGAAGGGGCGCCGCTTACTGTCTTGGTCTGGTCTTCTGTCATGACACACACACGAGGAAAACCATAACTAAGGAGCGAGGAGACGAGGAATATACAAAACAGTCTTTGATCCATGGAACGCAGGGTACATAAACACAGGAGACAGCAGGAAACACAGGGAAACTGAACAGGCAGGAACTTAAATACAAGGGTAATTAATAGAACACAGCTGAACGGAATCATAATTAAACTAAACAAGGACAGGAAGATGACCAAATAAGGAAACGCAGAAAGGCACATGAGGAGCAAAACACACACAAAACACGGACCAGAGTCTGACAACTGTATTATCTTAGTGAGGTTGACGGTCCTAACAGTATTTACAGCCAGTGGTTTAGGATTGCGTTTCAACTCAGGTTTAATGGTGCAGTGGTCAAATATTTAGTAGCGAACTAGTTGTGCATTTTACACTGTAATTAGGCTAGGTTTGAACTTGTGCTGGTTTGTGTTATGAGGGAACTAAAGCATCTCACCTCCGCTAATATAGCCGTCTTCCTAACCGGATCATTGACATTCAGAGCA